ATTTCTTCTGAGTCCATGTGAATTTGATGTTTATGTTCCCCAGTTCTGTGAAAATAGCTTTTGGTATTTTGATTGAAATTGTTTTAAATCTGTACATCAGGTTTGATTGTATGGCCATTTTGACTGTACTGATCTTGTATATCCAGGAACAGGAAATATCTTTGCATTTGCTAATGTCCTCTTTGATTTCCTTTTCGAAGTACTATAGTTTGCATTGTAGACATCTTTCTCTTCCTTGGTTATGTTAATTCCTAAGTTTTTAATTTTTCTTGGTTTTATTAGAGTGATATTTTTCCTTAGTTTCTTCTCCAGTGGGTTTATTATAAGTATAGTAATTTGATTTTTGTATGTTGATTTTATATCCTGTTAAATTACTGAAATTGGTTAGTAATTCTAAGAGTCTTTTGGTAGATTTTTTAAATCTTCTATATAAAATATATCTTCTGCAAGTAATAATAATTTGACTTTTCCCTTTCATTTAATATATAATACATATATAAATATATATTTATTTATATATCCTATATTGATATATAATATATATAATATATATTGTAATATATAATATAAACATATAAATATTTATTTATTTATATCCTTTTTTTTTCTTACCTAAAAGCTCTTGATAATGGTTTTTGTTGTTGTTGTTGCTGTTGTTCTGGGGATTGAACTTGGGACCTTGTGTTTGCAAGGCAGGCAGAGGAACCACTGGGCTAACTCCCTGACCCTTGATAATGGTTTGAGTACTGTGTTCAACAGGAATAGAGATAGTGAACATCACTGTCATGTTCCTGATTTTAGAAGAAAAGCTTTCATATTTCCCCCATTTTATATGATTTTGGTGGTAGCTTTGTCATAAATAGCTTTTATTAGCTTGTAATAAGGTCCTGCTATACCTATTTTCTTCAGTATTTTCATCATGAAAGGTGTCTAATTTTTTCAGAGGCTTTTTGTATGTCTATTGATTTGTGGGGTTTTTGGTTTGTTTTGTTTTTCTTGTTGTTTTGAGACAGAGTTTCACTGTGTAATTCAGGATGGCCTTGAACTCATTAGGTTTCCCAGGCTGGCCTTGAACTTGTGCTGATCCCCCTGTCTCAACATGCTGAGTATTAGGCTTACAGGGGTATGCCACCATACTGGGATTTTCTGCCTTTATTGAGATCATGTGATATTTGTCCTTTCTTCTGTTTATGTGATGTACTACATGTATTCATTTGTATCAATTGAATCATGCTTGCATCCTGGGGATGAAGCCTGCTTGGTCATGATGTATTCTCTTTTAAATGATTCATTGCATTCCTTTTGCCAGTATCTTGTTGAGAAGTTTTGCATCTTTATATATTAAAGAGATTGAGCTATAGTTCTTGTTTGGCTGATACTTGTCTGTTCTTTGACTCAACGTAATGTCAACAAGACATTCAAATTTGCGCATTATTTTAAAACAAAACTGAAATTTAACTTGTAGCAGTCTTTGTAAGAATAACTAATGGAAAATTTTTTTTCTTGAGTTCTTATTCATTCTGCCCTTCATACCCAGTTTGACTGTAAGTTTATACCTAGATATTTTGAAAGTTTTGCTGTTGTTACATATCACCATGAAGAAATTTGAGGCTGTTCTTACTGTTTTACCATGATAGGTAATTTGTTCTTTTTCCCTGATTGCTCAAAAGATATTTTATTTTTGAAGTTCGGTATATTTATGTCAGTATTTCCTAGGACATAGACGAGTTCGATTTTTATTACATTGTGGCCATTTTTATTTCCTGAACTTTCTTTGCATTGTCTTTTAGCACTGTTTAAAAATTATTTTATGGGCTGAGGATTTAGCTCAGTGGTTGTACTGCTTGCTTTGCAAGTACAAGGTCCCAAGTTTGACCCCTAGTACAAAAAAGAGAATTTTTTTAGTTCTGTTTTTTGGATGCAACAGTGAAAATCTATTTTGGATTCCTTTCATCTTATCCTTTGAACTGTGTCCATTTTCTTTTTTTTTTATTAATTAGTTTTAGTGATATACTTCAGATGTACATAATGATCACATTCATCATCGGAAATTTGTACCTATACCTACTATATCTAGATTCTTCTCTTTCCTCATTCACTTCCCCTCCCTTCTACCCCTTCTTATTTACAAAAAATTTGTTTTCATTTTTTCCTTCTCTTCTCTTTTTTTTTCTTGTACCTTTCTTTCCTCCTCTCTCCTGTTTCAAAGGTATCATTCTAGAGTATTGCAAATATTAGCATAGCTGGGTTCAGTGGCACATCCATTTATTCTCAATCTCTCAAGAGGCTGAGGCAGAAGGATTCTTGAAGCCAGGAGTTTAAGACCAGCCTGAGACACTCAAATCTTTTTAAAATTACATCAGATTTTCTCTTTTTAGCTCAGTATTTTTTGAGTACCATTCTCTTCCAGAATTTTGTTTCAATGTATATTTTAAAATACATTAATAGATTTAAAAGATATTTTATGCTAAAAGTATTTTAAGTTATATATTTCTTGAACAAAACATATAGAAATTAAAATTTCAAGAAAAATTTTCCCATAAACATAAAGAAAATAAATTTTTGATTGAATAATAGATTATAGCTATTGATGATTTGAAGGACATGCACATATTACACATTTTTGTAAATAAAATATTTATTAGAAGTATCTTTAATTAGATGTTTTTCAATTACTGTTTATAGGTCAGCATTGCTAGAAGGAAGGAGAATTTCAGCATCAATTGAATTCCTTTATCTTATTTCTATTGATTGAATCTTGAGAAAATTTGTGCACATAAACAAGAAGAAAGAAATAACGTTTATTATCAAAATATCACTCATTATTTTGAATTCCTTTTTAATCATTTGTCAAAACATAACCATAGTGAACTATCAGCAAAAAATAGTTTTAACCATCTTTCACTTGTTACTTTGATTATATTCTTCTGAAAACTTGATGAAAGAATTATAAATCATTTGATATAGTTTAGTGGGAATAAGTAACTGAAAGTCATTCTTTTCTTCTAGTACTGACACCAAATACTTGTCTCCTTTCTTGGAACCATGTTTTACAACTCCAAGGCAATGCCCTATTTAAAAATTAGATGAGTGTTTTGTAACATATGAGAAATATGATTATGAAGTTAGAAGCTTGACTCTTTTTGAAAAGTTTATATAAGGAAGTTCAAAATCTTGAAAGTTATTCTTTTAAAACTATATACACCTGCTTACCCCCCATTTTAACATGAAACAGAGGACTACTGCTGAGAGGAAATAATCTTGAATTGCACATTTACACTTTTGTGCTCATTGTGCAAATATGTAGTTGATTGTTTTGACAGAATATATATCTAATGTAACTCATTGCAGTTCCACCTTCAATGCCTAGAAGACCATTCAAGGAGGTTGCCTTGGTTGTATGCATATCAAACTAGAATACTAACAGTGTTCCTAAACAGTTTTCTGGTGCTTTACTTTAGAGCTGTGGATCCTCTCATACATTTGCTCTTTTTACTTATTTTGTTCTCCCACCTGAGTTACTTGCTCCTCCTCCTCCTTGTTTCCCATATGTGAACGTATTATTTGTCATCATTTATCTTTTTTGTAGTGCACTTTTGAACACCAACCCACCCATTTTGCCTCCTAAACATATTTCACATGTAATTCCATTTGTTTGTCTAGTTCAGACCAACATCATTTAATTGGTAATGTTCTGACTGTTCTTTCTAACTCCATTATCTTCCTTCTTAGATATATCCACCATAAAGTTACTATAATGATTTGTCCAGAATGCAAATCAATCCTGTATTTTCTGACTCAGAAATCTTCAGTTGGGTTTACTTATATATCTTCAATGTCTCTTCATCATTAAAAGGACTGCATTAATACTTAGTTTCATTAATTATCTTGTACTTATCTGTTCTCAACTACTTTTCCAGACTGTCTTACCACACTTTACTTATCTATTTTACATTCTAGTGACATTTCTTTGAACAGACATCTTGGTATATATATTGAAATGTCACAATGGAAATATAACTTTATTTTTTTCAGTAATATTTATCCTAATCTTCTGGTTACTTAAGAGGCAAAATGTACCCATATACAATGAAATATCTCTCTTAGAATTTTTTTGTATCATTGAAAAAAATTTTTGGTACCAGGAATAGACCTTAAGACCTTGCACTTATGAGGCAGGCACAGCACCACTGAGCTAAAACCCTGGCCCTCATTGAAATATTTTAATGTCACATTGGTAGCATTAAGCATGGTTATGAGACATAGGAGGAAATAACAAAGAAAAACCCAAAAAATGGAGGCCATAGCAAAGAAAAACCATAGACCTTAAATGGATCAAAATTTTTCAAAAAGAGTTTTGAAAACACACAGTGACATAAATTATATATGTATCCAATTATCTTTCTTAAGGAAAAGGAGCCAGGTGTGGTCGTGTGTGTACTCTTATAATCCCAGCATTCAAGAGGGTGAGGCAGGAGAATTATCGGGAGTTCAAGGCAGTCTAAACTACATAGCAAGATCCTGTCTCAAAAAACAAAACAAAAAAGAATTTTTGTCTTTGAACTATAACTATAGTTATGTTTTTATAATTTATTTTGTATTCAGCATATTTAGGTAGGATGAACACTAGCATGTTAAAAGGTGGGTTTCATTAAAACATTCAGCACTTCCAAATATGTAATTTTATAGGTTGTTCATCTTTGTTAAATCTGTTTTCTCATCTATAAAGATTAATGCACATTCTCTTTTCTGTTTAAGGAGTGAGGTAGCATTTGAGAATATGGGCTAAATGTAAAAAGACATATGTATTGTATTGTTGAATTAGTCTTTGTTGTCTTTAGCATTAATCCTACATTTCTGTAGTGGATGTGGTCTGTCTTGATAGAAGGCATATGTTGATGAGGCTAATAAATGCTCAAATGAAATAAAGGATGTGTAGGGGCTTATTTGTTTTATTTTTTCTTATTTCTTTCTTTCATGTTTCTTCCTTATTAAAACAGTTTTGGTATGAACCATGATGGAATTGGAAATTCTTGTGGGACTAAAGGTCATGAAGCAGCAAAACTTATGGCAGCTCACATTACTTCAAATACCAATCCTTTTTCCTGGTCTGCCTGCAGTCGAGACTATATCACCAGCTTTCTAGAGTAAGTAATCTCTAGAGAGTAATTATAAATTGCTCCAGAAATAAGTCATTGGTGAAAGTCTAATATGTAGTGCTTCAAATTTTGCATAATGAGTAATTTTTTTAGGGCCCTGTTATATTTCAGGTTGTTCCCTACATACTTTAACCCATTTTTATGGTAAATCTTTCAGTTCAGTTCTCAAAACTTATTGAACAAACCAGAGGGAGTAAAGACATAAGTGAGACTGATGATGTGACTGATTAGAATTGTTCAATAAATGGAAAGTAATTTCAGAATTTAAATGTACATAGGGAATAAGCCATACTTATTCAGTGATTATATATTCCATTATGTTTATGAAAAAATAGTTATGTGGATGTGCCAGAGTATCTTATAGTAACAAACAACAACAACAACAAAACCAAGCAGCCAGGAAATGAGCACTTTGAGAAAAAACTTTTAAGTAACCCATCTTTTCTACTGTTTGAGAATTTCTTCTGCAGACTTTCAATATATATTTCAGAGTGTTTTTCTGAATATGAAAAGTATAAATCAACTCATCTATAAGTATATTTAGGAAAGGAGATATTCTTCTACATCTCAGCTGCATAGAATTTCCACATTGGACTTTAGAAACTGCTACATTTGGGTCTTTCTGGCTGTATAACCTTGGGCATGCTACTTACCTTTTCTAATCTTCAGCATCCTATTTTATAAATGGGCTTTAAAAATAATGCTTACATTATCATGTGTTATGTACATAACTATGTATAATGCTATAGTTACATAAAAAACTTAATAGACATTCACTAAATGATAATACTATTTTAAATAATATAAAGGTTTTCAGTGCCTTATTGCCCTATTGTTGTCTTTAGGTATGTTGTATTATATTTTTCTTGCAAAGGAGAGACAAAATATTCAGAGTAAATGTAAGATCTATAAAAGTACATGCAAACAATGAAAATTCTTAAATATTAGCTTTGTTAAAAGTCTATATTAACATTATTGCATTGTAAATTTTTTTAAAAACAGGTAGGATATGTAGGATAAAATCATTCACTATAACTTTCCTTCATATCTACTAATACCCAGATTATATACTGAAAGATTTTAATTATATATTTTAAAATGGTTCAAACAAGATTTTAAATTACCTAGCACAGTGCTCAATGATCAAAAGATAAATAATTAAAATGGACAGTTTTGAATTAATTAATGTAATGCTAGAGTTGAAGTAGTTGAAAATTAATTTCAGAGGGTAACATTATATGCCAACAAATATTAAACTTAGTAAAGAAAATTATAGCACTGTACTTGCCTAGTGCCACCTATGTGAAGTACAATATTATAGACCACAGAGAATTTGTTTGATATCATTTGGTAGGATTTTACACAAAACACTAGCAATATCATTTTCTGAGATGGTTTTATCTAATTCTTATACACTGTTAAAGATCTGCTTTACCCAGAAGTCAAGCCAGATATGAAATTTGTCTCTTGATTTGGCTCATGTTTTTATAATAGAATTTTAATCTCTACCATCAGAAAGACAAACTGTATAATATGCTCAGGATTCCTGTGTGTTTTTCATGGCAACCATTTTCTTGGTTTTTAAAAATTTTCTTTTCTCCTGTGTCCTGTTTCTGTCCCATTGACTGTTACACAGATCATTAGCTAATACCATCTCTATATAATACATACAAGGCCAGTGGCTAATACTCCCATGCCTCAGGCATGTAATAAATTTTGTGTGTTCCTCCCTGTTAAAAACACATCCATATATGGACCAATTTTGATCTCCTACCAGTTCTCTCCTATTTGAAATCATATTATGGCTGTAAAGACACAATAAAAGGGAATCCTTAAATTGCTGGTAAAATATAGTTAAGAAATCACCACCAGTTTGGTTAGAGATATAGAATTAGTACTAATTTTAATAAAGTTTTCTATTAAGTTAATTAAAAGAATCCAACAGACATTATTTAATCTTTTTTGTTTCTTTGTATTTTGTATGTATAAGCATAATTAGTGTTGACAGGGGATTATTTATCCTGTACATTATAAAAATATTTCTCTTGTGCATCCTCATACAAATGCTGACAAAGTTAAAGCCATTAATAAAAAGTAGGTATAAAGGGCCAGGGATTTAGCTCAGTGGTTCGGTGGCCTGCCTTGCAAGTGCAAAGACCCGAGTTCAATCCCTGGTACGGGAGAGAGGGGGGACATGTGAAAGTAAATGGGTGAAGACATGGGGAAAATTTGACTTTTTCTTCCTCTCCTTTAATAATAAGCTTTAAAAAACCTGATTATAATATATCCAAGCAGTAAAGCGCTTTTATACCCAAGGCCCTTTAAAAGGTCAGTTCACTGAAGTACAAAGACATAGTAATTTTCTTATATTTCTTTGTTCCTTTTTATTAATGCAGTGAACTTAATTTCTGTAAAAGCTATGCATGATACTTTGTAAAATATAGCGATATTTTGATCAAGTATTGAGGGTACATTTATATTTTATAATTGACTCAAAACATTCATAACACTTTATTTTAGCTTCTCTTCTCAAAAAGAAGAAACCTTGAAAGATGATGGTTTAGGAACTGAACCAGTTCAACAAAATGCATCACTTTCTCCACTTAGTGATTGTATAGACCAAAGATGATGGCGGATATAGCAATGAGCTTTCCATGATTTATAGAGATTCACTATTCTCTATGTTCAACTGAAAACAATTCTTTGGCCTTTAAGTGCCAATAGAATACAAAGTCTCTCATGTCATTCTGAAACACTAGATGCTATTGATATCAGGAGATGGTGTTTACCAACTCCCAATATTTTTTTTCAGATTTCTTAAACTCGGTGATTCAATAAGTGGTTCATGAATCGCCCAGAAGCCGTCCTGATTAAATAATAAAGAACCCATTTCCGTTATAATGGACGTGTTATGCCAGCTTCTGATGTTTTCCGACGACGGCTTTGCAGGTAGTGTCCTTCCTATCTGCCTGCGGGACTTATTTATTTATTTATTAAGAAACTAGAAAAAGTTGAACCTGGTACCATGGCCCCCACTCATTGATGTCTATGGGCTAATTTTCCAGGCAGTGGAAGGCAGCCAATAGTAATTTAGACCAGATTTTCATACATTCACTACCACTTAGCAATAGTACAGAGTAATTTTATATTGTTTTAAAAACTTATGGGGGCTCTGTGAATCAGTTCCTGCAGTAAAGTCTGTTAAATTGTTTGCACTGACAAAGATCCATAACAATATTTTCTGCAATTTCAAATTAAATACAGAGTAGTTATTTTCACATTAAAAACGGAAGCTGAGTGCACTGAGAGGCAATGTTACTGTTGAAGGTGGAACTAGGTAGAAATGTGACAGTGCATCTTTAAGAGAAGTGATATAAGATGAACAGGATGACCAAAGCACTCATCTTTCTTCTCCAGCAGTTACTTTTGAAAATAGAAAATGATTTTTATAGGTGGAAAACAATTTTTATAAATGAGATCTTTTGTTTCTATTTTTGTTAAAATTAGTATCAAAGAAACAATTTGGCCAAATAGGTTTTTCCTTCTTCTGTTAATCTGATGTTTTGGAAAGTTGCTCTAACCATAAATCTTTGATAAGTCAAAATTACATATGGGGCTGGAGTAAACTACTTAGTACAGTATTTGTATCTTAGAAGGCTCAAGTTCAAATATCCCAATCATACAGAGAGTTAGAGAAAGAAAAGAGTTGGTTTTAAATAACACATATACATTTATATTTACCCAAAAGTATTGTTAAATTGCAGCATTTATGTAAAACATTTTTAGTTTCCTAAAAATTGATAAAGTATCTTATGAGAAGATAGTAGGTAAAGAACTTCACTTGCTACAGATGATGTCAACCTTTTTAATTTTTGCTTTCTTCATGTGTAATAGCACAACTTTGTGAAAAAAAATAAGAAATTACATTAAATGTTAACTTTTTGTTGTTGTTAAGGGACTGTTAAGATATATATGAAGTTATATATAATAAAAAGATTTCTTATTCAGATTGACTCCACTGTATTGTAGCCTAAAGGTCTGTCCTTGATAGTATGATTATTTTAGTAAAAATACATCTAAAATTTCAATTAGGAATATGCCCTCATGAGTTTTGAAGCAAAGCTGGGAGGGCATACTGTATTTTATGTAAGAATCTGTAAATTTTAGTTGAAGACTGAATTCTGGCTAATGTTTATATTTTAATCTTTGGGCTGTATAAATAAACTCTCTATATTAGAAGAGGAATACATAAAATATTACTTTTGCACCTTACTGCAAAGATATTTGTAAATGTAAATATACTTTGACTTAGTATGAATTTCACAAAAAAGACACATATTCTTAAACTGACATAAATTTTTGCCTTGTCTTAGAACTATAAACAAAAATAGAATGTGAGAATGTAATAATTACCTATATTTCTTTAGATATTAACTAGGATTAGGGTATTGTGAAATGTATGCTCTATAATCACAGATATACTTTTTATGTATACAATTTTGCACCATTTTATCTGTACTTAATAGTAAGATATAGTACCTCATAGATGGAAACTAACACTATGCTACATTTAATTTAATAGGTGAGTTTGTATTTTTTGAATGGAAAAAACTGCATATAATCCCATACACAAACCATCTAGATTTAATTTTGTTAATGAGAAACTCAAGATTTGTATGTAATATCATTACTATTATTTTGATAGTAACAATATTAGGCTCATCTAGCAAGAGTTGTATGGTTGTATCTCACATAGCTAGAATTCCATATTAAATAAAAATTTTCTGTAACTTCTGTTTTGTTTAAAAAAGGAAATCACAATGTATAAGACAAAAACTGATTCTAACATTTTTTTTAGGAAAAGAAAAACATTTGCACCAGGAAGCATGTACAAAAAACATTTATGTCAGCATAGTGATTTGCAACTGTCAGAAAGTTGGAAATATGTCAAATATTCATTAAGAATTGCTGAATAACTATAAAAGAACAATAAAAATGAGTGGGCCATAGTACATGGCAGTACACAACATCAATATAGCTATAGCTCATTCACAATATTGAACAAAAAGAATTGAAGTGCCAAGAGAAAACCTAAAATATGATTTTTTAAATAATGGAGTCCAAAACAGGCAGGTGAATAATTGAGAAGTAAAATTAATAAGAAAAATAAGGAAATTATTATTATATTAAGTTAGAATAGGAGTTCCCTCAGAGGAAAATGATTGGAGTCGAACAAATGGAAATTTTCTTAGGAAAAATACTAAGAGAAAGCACATCCAGGATTAAACACACATTTTTCAGGCCTATGTACTTACCCTCTATATTTGTATCTATAGTAATTCATTATAATAATCAATAATCTGAAGTCATGAAAATATCAAGAATTATTATTTTGTAAGAGTTAATAATAACTGTGATCTATATAGACTTTACCTAGTTGAAATTTGCAGAAACATTAGAAGGAAAGAGCCAAATTTTAATAACATTGTGCAAAAAGGCATTTTGATCTTCAGTTAAGGATAAAATTATGGAAATTGTCTTATTCCTCAAATATGTTAATCAGTATTTTAGTGTAATACAAAATATGATTACATATAATGTTAGGAATGTAGAAACGATTTTAATCAGCCATGCACTTATCTCCACTTTTGCTTTACTGGAAGACACTTGACTCATAAGCCTTGCTAATTTGTACAAATATAGTCAAACATATTTCAAAATATCTTAGTTGATATGATATTCCTAAACACAAGTTCATTTTATAAAGATCTGTATGGTTTTCTTTTATATTTTATTTTATATGGAATTTTATTCTTCTGTAAAAATATACTGGAAAAAGGGAAGAAGATTTGTGTAGCTATTTAGTTAGGATTAATTGTACAAGGAAGAGGTGCTTTATATACAAATGAAAATTTATAAAATAAAAATATACTTTTGGGATAAACTTTCTTGGAAAAGTTTTGGCCCCAGAAGCCCACAGTACACGGCATTCTTGATTATCTAAAGGACTTTGCAGTGGTTATTTCTTAAAGAGTACAAACCATGATATGAAGACCATTGCTACCTTAAAACAAGAATGTTAAATGAAGCATTTATTCTTTGTTCTTTTATGCCAGTTTTCCCATCAGAAAACAATATATTCTTTGGTGTATCTTGTCTTAAATTTGTCCTTGTCCTTCATGTAGATCTTCCTCTTGAGTTTTTAGTCTACCTTTCCTGAAAGTAATTATGTAAAATTATTTTTAATTGATTTTGAGTTGTGCCACTTAGGCAAATATATTCTGTACTTTTCTGTCATGCTGTTGATAAAATGTATTACTTATAGGATATGGCTCATGTAGAACTTCAGTACATAATCTTTAATTTTTCTTTGTTTATCATAGTACTTATTTTGTTTTTACTTTATATTCAATTACTTTGTTAAAGTATTTATAATTTTATTAAAACAGAGATGAAACATTTCAGAAGAAAAACATTAGGAATTAATCAGTCATCTCACAAATATTTCATTTTATATAAATGGTTTTTCTTTGCCATTACACTATCCAAATATGACCTTCTTGTCATTGACCCCAATTCAGAAATACCTTAGTTCATAAACTTAATTCATTCCACAATTCTGGAAAAGATGACCAACTTTGTGTTCATGCGGGAAAGATGGCCACAGTTGTGTTTGTTACCCAATGCAGAGTTCCCAAACAAAAACAAAATTTTTCCAAATGCTTCTGTTTGCAAACAAAAGCATTTGTGAACCAAGGTACCACTGTACTGTATATAACTTCCAATTTACTAGTAGGATTATGTTACCTAAAGCTTACACCTAACATGAAAAGCTCTGTTTTAAAAAATTCATGTGTAAATTATGTCATGCTGAGGTACATGTCAATTTCTAAAATTACAATAAAAAGGAAATAACAAGTGTTTTTCCATGAAAACTGGATAGCTAGGTGAAAAATGCTTGTTCTCTTAGATACCTTGAGTGGTGATGAGAGAAATTACTGCAATAGTCAATAGCAAAATTCATCTATATTAGTACCATATTTAATATTCCCTGTAGATATTTCTGTTGATTAAAATATTAGTCAAGAGGGGCATAATTGAACAGGGTATAAAGAAGAATGTATTCTATCCCTTTGGTCTTCTGAATCTTTACCTCCTTACTAATAATATGGTTCAGTGTTTTAAAGATATAAATTTTCTGCTGTGCAAGTATACCTTTTTATATAATACATTTTATAATTTAAGAATACGAGAAATTTTTTGTGACTATGAAACTCATTGCTATGTGTAGTTCTTTCTTACCTATATAAATGAAAATTTATACTGTCCTAAATAACAGTTGAAGAACTTCTACTTGTGAAATTATTTTCCTTTGGCAAAGTGGATGGAAAAGATTTGGAAAAAAAAAAAAAAACACAAGTGCTGGCACAATGGACAGGAATGTTGGAAAAAAAAATTTAAACGTTGGCACAGGAATTCTTTAAATATTCTAACTTACTCACATGTGAAATGAAAGTAAAAAAGCATCTGTCCTATTTTATGCACACTGACAAAATAAAAATGACCAATTATATTTAGTAAAGTTTAAAGCTCTTTAAGCTATTCTGTCTAGCTTTTGGCAATCTTTATGTTATTTGTTCCACTGAATTAAAATATTATGTTTGAGTGCAGGCATACTTTGCAAGGCAGAAATTATAGAGAGAACATTCTCTTTTCCAATTCTGATGACCCCAGATGAAATATGAAATTTTTGAAAGATTAAACATTTCTTATATACTTGAGAGAACTTTGAATCTTAGCCTCATTTGTCATTCAGTCCTTTTGTTAGTGAAATATTTCAAGAACCTAAGGATATGTCTTATTATAGCATCTGTTGTTCTAAGGTGAAAGGGTATAAAGGTCTTTCAGGATTACAACTACAATTTTGAAAAATTTTCCATATTTATGTTTTTAATTTTACTACCAGATGTGGTTATATTTTCAATGAAAACAAACATGAAGCTTAGAACAAGATGAAATTTTGTTTTAATTCTTTCAGAAATCAATTTAAATCACTGTTTTAAAGGCCTACATGACATTTTCAGATTGTTGTGTAGGATGCTTCCTTTGTGTCTTGGTGCTGGGGGGGAAAAACAATTTGGAGCTTATTTAGGTGTCACTTTACTCTATTTTGCCTTGTGATTATTTATTGGTAGAATACTGTGATTAATTATATATTGTTTTCATGCATTGAATTATTACCACAAAGAGCTCAACACCTGGTTTCATAATTGTGACAGAAATAGCCCATAGAGTACCTAATTTCCTTTGATCCTTTATGTTGAACAGTTCAGGCCGTGGTACTTGCCTTGATAATGAGCCTCCCAAGCGTGACTTTCTTTATCCAGCTGTGGCCCCAGGTCAGGTGTATGATGCTGATGAGCAATGTCGTTTCCAGTATGGAGCAACATCCCGCCAATGTAAATACGGGGTAAGAGGCTTAATCCTTTTGTTTAGTCATTTATATATGTTCCTTTACATAACACATGTTGAGATGGAATTATGATGAATGTAATTTGCCTCCAGTAATATTATTAATTTTAATATGGTTTTTGACACTGTTCTGTTGCTGATATAACTTGTATAATAGCTATTTCTAAATATTGAGTAATCCTAAATTAAATAACTTGCAGGTTGAATTTAATAATTTCTAATGTACTTATTCTATAAACTTTGAACTTAAAATGGCAACTTTATTTTAGTATTTGTGCTGCTGAAGCGAGCACAATGGCAACTTTATTTTGACTTTTGAAATATTGTTTTTAAAAGCCTCCCTATCCCTTTTTTCTCAAATTCTCTTAAATGGGCTAAAGGACATTTTTTTCATTGGCTATGTGCCTTTAATTCATACTTGATAATACTCAGTCATACTAATTGCTTTATCAATGCCGCCCACATTCCAACACCACAACCAAGCAGAAACAAGAAGTAAAACAGAAAGACTAAATAATAAAACAAGGAAAATTGCTGTGGAAAAACACGTAGGCATCATAGTTTACTCTTCATGCCTGCCTCAGAATGTCACAAAGTCTATATTAGTAAATGTATGAAAAATTATTTTTAAAATTGTAGACAAAGATTTTCGTGTCTAGTATAGGATCGTGTTCAAGAAGGAATGACATATAAGCTTGTTGAATGAGAAAAATAGGACTTTAAAATGTCAAATTGTTTGCCATATTTCTGGCTTGACAAGAAATTTAGCTGGGTGTGGTGGCACACACCTGTAATCCCAGCACTTGGGAGGCTGAGGCAGGAGAATTGCTGAGTTCAGGCCAGCCTAGGCTACATAGTGAGTTCAAGGTTAGCCTGCAATACATAGCAAGACCCTGTCTCAAAAAACAAAAGAAAAATAAAAAGAAATTTAAAGGCTTGCTTTCTATTTTTGTACAGTCTTTAAAATTTCTTTTTAAAAATAATAAAAATAAAAGGAGCTAAATTTTTAAGTAGGTAATTCTAAATGATATACTCATTATAATGTACCAATTATTCTTTTGCATATACAGTACATTACAGTAAAAAGGGAAGTGATATTTTAAAAAATATCTTGGGTGACAATTATACTGTTACTCTTTAGGCTTTGGCAACACCTTTTGTGCTCTATATTTTTAATTCTGTGTGATTGTCTGATATGTAGGCCTTGAGGAAAACATTGATCTTTTCAGTGTTTTTATAAACCATCTTCTATTCTTGATTGTGTATGGTTGTAGTTTCTTTTATTCTAACATTTTCCCCCAGAAGATCAGCCAGGAATTAATCATAGTCTTTGGGTGAACTGCATTAACAGTTTAATGGGTCACGATCAAATGAAACTAGAGATTCTTTGCTAGGTTATTGTTGTCTGAGTCTCTCATTTATTTTTTGATAAGTGAAATAATCTTTTTTGGAAATAGGATTTTTACTCCACCTAGAAATTTCTGTAATTATGAGCTTTATAGGATCTATGGATGCAGTTTTCTTTCTTAAACTAATTTAAAAATTGAATTAATCTTCCTCACTTGATCTATATATCATTCATTTTAGACTGATTTGAAATGAGATAAATAGTAACTATGAAATTATATCTTTTCACATGCTGCTTCTTGATACCTTATATGTTATGTTTATAAAGATTTCTGTAATAGACAAAATAAAATTGGGATGACATTAGCATCTTATAAAACTATATGCTATTGTATTTATTTTATCATGAATTCTTTTCACTTTGATTTGCAACAAAATCATAGTTTCTCTAGATTCATATGCTATATGAGAATGCTATTTTTAAAAAGGGTTTTATGTTACCAATAAGGCTTCTTAAATCATAATAGATTCTTTACTATCACTCTCACCTCTTGGACTTGTACCTAAAACATTCAGTTTTCACAGTTGAAGGACTCTAAACCCACACTGAGTTTATCTGATGAATCCTCTAGTTTTAATCGGATACTACTTTCAAAAATGATGACTTTGAATATGAGAGTCTAGTCAAGTAAGCAAGTCATACTTCAGATGCTAACCAAAGGGGAAAATATACTGGCCCTGATTTAGATAGCTCTGTGAGTGCAGCAGGCTGAAACAAATACTAAGCACAATTGCTATAGAACACCGAAAGTTTTTCCAGAGTGTTTAAAAATAATGAAATGATTCCACTGTCAGCAAGCAGGTTTCAGATGATGGCAGACAAGATTTTAACAGCTGTAGAATGATCCATAACTCCATCAGTGACCAGCTTTACATCTCTTTCACATTGGTAATTATGTGCTCATTGCTCATTTACCAGTAATTGTATCTGTAGTTGCAAAATATCTTGCCTGAATTCTCTTAGTGAGAGGTTTATATATATATGTTAGTTATATTTGGAGATTTACATGAAAATTTTTTCTTATTTATTTTACTCAGGATAATATTTTCCTTTATTATTCTCACATATCATTTAATTTTTGTTTTCCAAGTGTTCTTAAATTCCAGTAGAACAATGAAGAAATTTTAATTTCTTTAATTAAATTTAATTTTAATTTTCTTTTATCATTTAATTTTTGTTTTCCAAGTGTTCTTAAATTCCAGTAGAACAATGAAGAAATTTTAATGGCTACAGAGTAAAATGACTGTGTAATCAAATAATCAATAAATAATATATAGCTTCTGGTAATTGCATAGTGCCTTTTTCTGTGATACTTCAAACTACAATGATAAAAATCTCAATTATCTCATGATCTTTAGAGATGGGGAAACTAAAAATACACAACCCACTCCATGGTTAAAAAAAGTCTAAATCCATCAGTTCTGTTTCTAATAGGTACAACAACTATGTTAATAAACATTGTAGATATATATTGTTTCAGAAGACACTTGTTTAATTTTCATCAAGTAATGTCTTATTTAAAAAAATCTTAAAACTTTCCCAGTTCTCCCGGTCTCTCTTGGGGAGAGGTGATCAAGAGGCTTTGTCTAAATTTATCCTTTTTTTCTTTTAATATTATGTTTTGTTTGAAATTAGTCTTATACATGGAAACTTTATCTTTACATAATTATGAAAATGACATTTACTATACAAATCAATACAAATATGATACACTTAAAGAATGAGGATATTTAGCCTATTTAATTGTTTTTTTAACTTTTATTAGTACATGTTTGTAGTATATAATAATTAAATTTGCTGTGGGGAACTGGTACATGTACATAACCCATTTCAATTCATTCCCCCATCCCTCAACCCCTTTTTATTTTTCCAACATCAGAGTCATTTGTTTATAAGACCTTATAAAGTTAATTACCATATATACAGATTGAGAACCAGACTAATAGGGCAAAAAACATATAAATCATGTAAAATCTTGTGTTAAATCAAGGTATACTTTTACATATGTTGTCCACACTGGATTATCCCCCCTCCCTATTATCTGTCTTTTATATCATACTATACATATGTGTGCCTGTGTATTGAGTTTTTCATATAAAAGAAACTATATAATATTTAAGCTTGTGTTATTTTTAGGGTTTTAAATTCTGGAGTTCTGAAAAAGCAAGTCTTATATTTGAGTGAATTTATTTTCTTTTTTTCCTATATAAAAAGTTAGGACTTTTTAAAGGCAGATTGCACGTACAAAGAACGACATGCAAAGCTAGATAGATCCCTAATAGATTATCATAATAACTGTTAGCTATATTAGTATGTTTCTCAGGGCCCTTGGATGCTTCCTGGAAGAAAGAATATTGCAAATAAGACAGCAATATCAGTACGCCTAGGAAATGTTTCTTTGTCTTTTTGAACAACAAACTTGTACAGCCCAGTAGTATCTATTGTCTCATTTCTCTTCCTCTTTCTATTAGTTTTCTCTTTCTTATTCAAAAAAGAATTATAAAAACTAGATTAGCAGAAAGCATATTGTAGTAATAATAATTCTAAACTTAGAAAGGAATTTATTTATGAACCTATAAAATGGATGGGCTGTGGGTGATATTTTGACTGCTTTCCAAAAAACAGATTAGTTCAGGGCTGTCCTAGACTTAGCTCTTTATTTCTTTTTTGTGTCACTTTAAATGATATCCCAAACATTGTTTTCAAATACGCTTAAATAATAGTATATCTAGTAAGTAATTTAATGTAGTCATCATGAGATGACTGCTCATCTAGATTTATTTTATTTTATATATAAATATACTTTAATCTATGGGGAATTTTAATTATATATAAAGTTTATAACTTAATAAAATGAGTTAGCACATACATGCAAAATAATATATTGTACATTGTTTCTTATTTTAATATAGAACTGAAAGATGTCTTACAAATTGAATATATATTCTGAACCATAAATGGGAACACATTATCTAATACAAGGTTTCACAATGTAATAGAATATTGTTTAACAGAATATTTTGAATAAAATAATCCATTCATCTTTTACTGTTTTCTGTGACCTCAAATTGACCTTCAGTAAATTTTATTCAGTCTTAGAACATTTTTTCAGTGAAAACCAACTTTGTTTTCATAAACTTAAAATAGTAGAAGAGTATGACAAATATGCAAAGTACCTTTCATTTACCCAGCACATGGTAGGCATTCAGAAATGTTTCCTTTTCCTCTACAGGTCTCCGTCATCAATGACAATTCTTTTATCACTCATATGCTGATACTGCTGTAGAATAATTTGAAACTTCTGTACTTTTGGGAGCATATTACAATATTTCAAGGTTCACATGTGACTCAGTCCCATACTTCACTTTCTGTTCAAATGCAGTTTCATTTCAGACTGGCTTCTGTCTAGTGGTTCTCTATAAAAAGCTTCTTCCAGTTACTTTCCTTCACATTCTACTATTTATTTCCATTATAGCACTTATTAAAATCTACAATCCTTTTGCTTATTTCTCATTAATTATTTAAATATGATCTATATAAGGCCTTCATTGACAACTTGACCTAAAATTATGCACCTATGTGCACATACC